CCCTTCTCCCCGCTCCTCCCCCTCTCTTCCCTTGCTCGCCGCCGGCCGGATTCCGCCGCCGCCGTGCCGAATCGCCCGTCGCCACCTCACCGTTCGACGTTTACCGGTATGTTTTACACACTCCGGTAACTTTTTTATTGTTTTTATGTGTTTTGTTGAGTTGTTTTTAAAGTGTTTGTAAAAATGTCTAAATGAAGTCTCTAAACATTTACTATGAGGCTGTGTAAATGTTAGTTTATGACGTTAATTTAGAATTATTTTTGAACTAGTGGTTAATTTATTAATTTATATTATTTATTAACATAATTAGATTTAATGCCGAGGAATGAAATTTTTTTGTGTATTTAAATATGTTACTCTAGAATGTTAATTTACATTATTTAAAATGTTAATTTTGGTCACGTTAAATTCTGTTCGATGTTTCAATTTGATGTATGCGTTTGATTTTTCACCTTCGTCGCTGTTTGCCCGGTTCCTCCGACGTAATCCCGCTATTTTCAACCCCCGTTTAGTGGGTTTGAACTTTGTAAGTTTTTTATATTTATTGTACTTTTAGTTTAAAATTGTTGTAGCTTTTGGTTGTATGAATTTGGGATTATGATTTTGATATTTGAACTATGATTTTCTTATATTATTGAAATTTAGTATATGTTTGTGATTCTTGTTCTGGGTGGCACATCTTGCAGCTATGGTATGCCGAAATCTTTTATAGTTATTTTTTTACAGGTTTAGATTTTTAGATCATAAGAAAAATAAGCCGTTATATTGCCGAAATTAGTTAGAAGGTGTTAGAGTTGATGGCTAAATTGCAGCCCAACATCCAATTACCTGCCCAACATCCAATTACCTACGATTGATCGTCCAGAACCAGTTGACCTAGACGCTCCTCTGTCTTCTTTAGATGATGACGGTCCTGATGATGATTCAGATACTGGCGATGCTGCAAACTTAGACGATTAGTTCCATTATATGTACTTTTTTATTTTTCACTTTATTTAGACTTTTATATTTTTTTGAACATTATATATGCACTTCATGTAGTATTCATAATATATTTTATAAATTTATTTAGATTTACTGTTTTTAATATTAATTTATATTTCACTTTTAATGTATCTTAATAAATTCTATTCAGTATGTAACATAATAATGTTTAATTAAAAATATTAAAAATTAATTAATTGCCATTTTTTAAAAATTATAAAAAAAATTAATTTTGGTTTTTTGCGACGACTTTTTTAGACTTGTCGTCGCAAAAAATAAGATTATTTGCGACGACAATTTGAAATGTTGTCGCAAAAAATGATCATGTCACGAGAATTTTACAACGACGTATTAGCGACGCTTGTCGTCGCAAATACAGAATGTCGTCGCAAATACATTTGCGACGACGCTATGGTGTCGCAAAAAACGTTTTTGTGACAAATTATTTGCGCCGACAAATTTGTGATGACGTGTCGTCGCAAAAAACCTTATTTACGACGACATTCGGGTTTTTGCGATGACTTTTTATTGTCGAAAAACCCCTTTTTCTTGTTGTGAAATACGAGTTACTTAGCATGTATTTGTTTTACGGATTTGAACCAAAAACCTTTCTTTATTACAGCGGTTCTCATAATTTTTTTAAAAAAAATTTAAATTTAAGCCACAAATTTTAGTAGAAAAACAAACACACAGTTAATATCAAACAACCCGTGCCAAACATGACACAATACCCAATATTGGCCAAGTCCAACCAGAAGTCAACTCCTAATTGGGTGTGGATTTTGTGTACTTTCGATTTAAGTGACCGCGTAATGCTCTTTGTTTTAAGTCTCAATTGACAACAATGTCATCCACTAAACAATGAACACATACATAAAAGGAAAACAGAAAAGCCAATAAGCCATATACAGGCCGGCTTGGATTAGCAATTAAGACGAATGACATGACCAAACAAACAAAAAAACCGGAGTGTCTTTGGACTAGAAAAAGGAAGGGAAAAGAGACAACAAAAATTTGTTGGGTCCTCTTCAACAAGCCTCCGTAAAAGTGTTAGTGATTTTGAACCTTTCAAGCCCAACCTTGTAGCCGAGGGCCTTGACATCGCGTTGCACTTGCGCTTGAAAATCACTGTACGTAAAAGGCTTGTATTTTGAGCTTTTTATAACACTTTCTTCACCGGGAAACACAAAGTAGCATATTGACAAACGCTCTTTATACTTGTTTACTTTCACCCGGTGTTTCACGCTCTTGTATTCGTCATTGCTAATTGCCTACACAACAACAACAACAGCCCGACAAAACACATATGATCCAATTAGTAAAAAGGTGAAATCTCATCGAATTAAATTAAACGAATGTAACGGAATCTGATGAAAATCTGACGGATAATTAAAACCTGCATCATGTCTCCGAGATTGACGATGAGTGTGTTGGAAACAGGTTTGACAGTAAACCATTGGTCATCTTTGAGGACTTCAAGTCCACTAACTTGATCTTGGTTGAGTATGGACAGTACTGAGCTGTCTGTGTGTACGTCCATTCCCCATGCAGTGTGATCGCCGTTGTCGTTGTCGTCGACGTCGTCGTTGGAGTAAGGTGGATACCGGTAAACACGTATTAAGCCGGTGGATTCTGACAAGCTGGGCTTGGATTTATCTCTTTTGTCCATATAAAGCTTATCTGACATGACCTCGAATATGGCTGTTGCAAGTCTGCCTAAGTGCCTTCCGTACTCTTCTATCAAAGGTCTTGTCGGCATATTATAGAGAGAGAATAAGTATTTAACTATCGAAAATTGAAGAGAAAGTATATATTATATAATGGAAGGGGTTGATTCAAATAATGGAGTCGTGTAGAGTCTTGATTAAATGTATTTATAATTCGATGATTTCCTTTCCTTTAGAAAAATAAGAATAATAATAATAATCACGTCTTTATGACTAAAAAGTGAATCGCATGATATATGCTGTCAAAACTTTCATGTCAAAAAATGACCAACACATCCAACATCCAATATTCTTACACGGTTGCGCCACACACACCGAAAAGGACCAAGATTTCAAGTTCTTCAATTAATATAGCTCTTTTTATTTTTCAAAACCTAATTATCACTATGGCCAAGCTAAAAATGAAAAAAAAAATCCAAATTAAAGCCGATTTGTTTCTCAGGTTTGAACAACAATTTAAACTATTTAATTTACTAGAGTGTTTTCTTTTATAAGGAATTTGAATTTCTGTTCAGATTTTCTATTTAAACGTATGCACCAAACAGACCAGGAAAGCTTATAAATACGCCTACACAAAGAAGAGGGGAGGAAAAAACAATAAAAAATAAAAAAATAAAAAAAAAACAAGAAGAAGAAGAAGAAAAATAATAAGGCTTACCTGAAAGAAGTAAGATTGGCCGTAGGGTGTTGCTGAGGTTGAAGTTGGGAGAGTTGACAGAGAGGAATGTTGAGTCCTTCAACCCAATTGATATTTTGGGGATCCCTGGATAGGGCAGCCCCAGATGGGGTCAGTGCAGGAGTACCCCAGAAGTAGGACAGATTAGGAGTGGTGGTTGTGAATAGGGCCTGTTTGGATTCAAAAGAGAGATAGAAAAGCTCTCTGGCATAGTCCTCAAGTTTGTTCAACAGGTCAGGAGGAACCCCATGGTTTACCAAACGAAACAGACCCCAATCCTTACATGCCTCTCCAAGCTTGTTACAGTCATTATTGTCCTTGTTTAATCCAACAAGGCTTTGGAAATCAATTATGGGTATTGGGTCTGAGTCCGACTCGGCCGAGTCATCATCATCATCATCATCGTCAACTCGGTCCGCAGGTGGCTCTACTACTAATGGCTTTGATGAAGGGCGGAATGGAGGAGGGTAGGATTCAAGGTTGGTGTTGCTCATTGTTTAGGGAGAGGAAATTACAATGGAAAAAAAAAAATGGTGGTGGCGGTTTACAATAAGTTCATGAATGTGACAAACAAAACGTTAAAATATAAAACTTTATTTTGATACCGAGGAATAAGTTCTTGAAAGACTTTGTTTGTTCTAATACAAGGAGGGGACCACGCACTTGGTCCCTTCTTCTGACACGTGTCCATCTGGTCCCTTCCCTGCTATCTTCGTTTGTCCGCTTGAGCCGGCCCTACAAATCTCTGAAAATTGCATGGTCTGTCATCAAACATGTGAAAAAGGTTAAAAATGTGGGCCACTCTGGTTGAGAAAAAGGCTTTCTCCTCCTTTTTTTTTTTTTTTTTTACTCGTGGTTGGTCATGGGACATGTCGTTTCAAGGGATGGGAATTGAGAGGGACCAAATTCTTTTAGAATTGTACGTTCACCTTTTTAGTGGGACAAATTGTCCATTGTCTTGTTCCCTTTCCATTTTGGTGTAGTTTTTCTGTTCTGGTAGATGGATTTACAGTATATTCCAATATTTGTGAGACAATACGTATACGGTATTTTTCAGAACAAATATACACATCTAAAAAGAGAATCACCTATAGGGTTGGCTGAATTTTGATACATAATCCAAGGTGCCAAACAAGTTGCCCCTGCATTATTAGGAGAACTTATTCTAAAAACTAAAGTGTCTGTTTGGTTAATTGTTTCTCATTAGTTTAGCAACCTGAAAGTAAGCTGCACACTTGGAAATCGGAATGGTATTTCAATATAAAAAAGTTGAAACTTTGATAATAAGTGCTTTAATTTATTTTTATTTTTATTTTTTTTAATGCCTGGTTTTTGCAGATGCGGAGGGGTAGGGTTCATACATTAAGATATTTTAGCAATCCTTAGATTTTTATGCCCCCCTTTTTTATTTTTATTCCAAGATATTGTTATGCTAGTCCTTAGGAAAGGCCAAGGGTTAGTTTTATGCCAAAGAGAAAAAAAAAAAAAACAAAAAAAAAAAAACAAACAAAGAATTTTTAGCTTTTCAAAACAAACAAATAAACAAAACGAACCAGAGAAATAGATTTTTAATTTATAAAAAAGATCTAAAAAATACTGTTAGCGATGTGAAAGTGATATTTCGAATAATGCTTTTAGGGGTTTCCTTAACATTCTTGTGTTGTCACTTTCAAAACCTTTTATAATTTCTATGGACCCCGTTGATCTTTGCATTGCTGTGTGGCAATGCGTGAAACAATTGAGACATTATTTATAGTTAATTGTTTTGAGCAGAGTAACAACTCACAAAGCCAATCGACAATACTTATTTATATTAATATAATTTAAAATCGCCTTATGTCGGCCATACTCATTTATTTGGGTTCATTAGCAATATAGAGTATGCTTAACCTATCTAATAATTGTGTTAAGCTGTTCCGAGCCTTTTGATGATTCATGGCTTGAAGTTTAGACAAGCGATTCATTTCTTCTTTTATTGTGCCTTAATTGTATCCAATACACAGTTTATATATATATAAAAAAAAAAACGGAGAAAAAAACAAGAAAATAAAAATTTACTACAATAAAAGTATTATTTGCTAACAAAACAAAGCATATTTTATTAAACAAACAATACATGACGAAAAGTATAAGATAAAATCTTATAAAAAGCGTGTATTATAAATCTCATGAGAAAATTAAAAGCATACATGATAAAAAATCAATGTTTTTTTTTTGTGTTATTTGGGTGTTGCTTATTGTGCCGGTGTTTAATTTGCTAGGTACTTATCGTGCTTTTCACGTGTTTCATGTATAACCAATAAATCTGCTGGACTAGACCTATTTTATTTTATTTTGCTAATCCTGGACCAGACCTATTTAAAATAGTCATTATGGCAATTCCGTGCCACGTCTTAGCATGGCGGTGAATAATAAAACATGAAAAGTCTGTTGCCCAATGGGTGACCTTGAAGTAGAGCTCAAAACAGACTTTGGGCCTAGGTAAAGGTTGGGCCTAGCCGGACTTGACCGGCAAAGTATGTCTGGAATTCTCTTGATTTCATTTTCCTGCGTATACAGAGGACCGTTTATTTTGAGTTTAAAATTCGATTTTTATTACAATAAAAACTCCAACAGTTTAGGTTGGCAATCCGGATAGCGATACGACGACACGATTTAAAATACACATGAAATTAATGAGTTTGAGTTTATCATAAATAGGTTCGGGTCAAAATCAAGTCAAATCCGTAAAATACGATTAAATAACGTGTCATTTTTAAGTTGACCCCCGTCAACACACAATTAACCTACCATAACTCGTTTATTAAATGTGTCATATTTAAAGAACACAAATACACAACCCATTTATTACCCGTTTATTACCTAGGTTAAAAATATTTCATTTTCTACATTTCCTACTAGGGTTTTATACTTTTATTTTAACTTTTCTTCTTCTCTCATTTCTTTTCTTTGATCCATCATCCAAAGTCCCAAACGGCGGTAGCAACTTCTCACCCACCCGTCCACTTCTTCACCCGCCGGCCGCATCCAGACCCACATGCCGCCGCTTCTTCTTCTTCTCGCTCTTCTTCTTCTTGTTCTTCGTCTTCTTTGTATTTTCTTCTCGTTTGCTCTCTATTTCTCTTCCCCATTTCCATAGCCCAATCTTCATTCCGTCCCAACAAATTGCTCCTCCTACGCCTCAGGCCCTTACGTCCCCGATCTCAGCAGAAAACTCCTTTGGGTCGACCCCAAGGATAAGGCTGTGATTATTGGGGTTTAATTTAAAATTTAATTTAATTAAACTGGACTGTTTAATAAAATCATAAAAATAAATACATATATATCAATATAGTTTGCTCCGGAGACTTTCTTTCACAAATAATATTTAAAACAATCCATAAAGTCTAAGGAAAATAGTACAACTCTGGGACAATGTCGACCAATACAGTTTACATACAGCAATACAGTACATCTCAGAATTTAAAATTGTAAATCCGAAACAAACGTACCGCTTCGAATCTCATGCCTTCAATCCATTGGCATCCACTTGTCATGCTGTAAATCTAAACCGCTAACTCTGGAGGAGGGGTATAAAACATTGAAAACATAATAAAAGTGAGCGTAAGGCCCAGTAGGATATAATTTATAAAACTGAATAAATAAATAAGTGAATAAAATGAGAGAGTCAGGCCCGAAATAATCAATCGGAACCAAACAACCTTTTTCTGAAAGGTAAATAAACTGAAATTCCATATTTCAGGCACCAGCAAGTAATTTAAGTAATTAAATTACTTACGATCAAAGCAAGGCCTTATCACCGCCGTAGTGGCCCGTCTGGGTTTTGGGTTCTGCCCCTAAGGATACAATCTCCATATCCTATCTAGGCCATCAGCGGGCTTACCAATTCGCAAGATCTCTTGTCTTAAGAAATCATTCATTAAACTTTTTGAAATCGAAAAGTAAAAGATAAAATCTTATAAAAAGCGTGTATTATAAATCTCATGAGAAAATTAAAAGCATACATGATAAAAAATCAATGTTTTTTTTTTTGTGTTATTTGGGTGTTGCTTATTGTGCCGGTGTTTAATTTTCTAGGTACTTATCGTGCTTTTCACGTGTTTCATGTATAACCAATAAATCTGCTGGACTAGACCTATTTAATTTTATTTTGCTAATCCTGGACCAGACCTATTTAAAATAGTCATTATGGCAATTCCGTGCCACGTCTTAGCATGGCGGTGAATAATAAAACATGAAAAGTCTGTCACCCAATGGGTGACCTTGAATTAGAGCTCAAAACAGACTTTGGGCCTAGGTAAAGGTTGGGCCTAGCCGGACTTGACCGGCAAAGTATGTGGAATTCTCTTGATTTCATTTTCCTGCGTATATAGAGGCCCGTTTATTTTGAGTTTAAAATTCAATTTTTATTACAATAAAAACTCCAACAGTTTAGGTTGACAATCCGGATAGCGATACGACGACACGATTTAAAATAAACTGAAATTTCATATTTCAGGCACCAGCAAGTAATTTAAGTAATTAAATTACTTACGATCAAAGCAAGGCCTTATCACCACCGTAGTGGCCCGTCTGGGTTTTGGGTTCTGCCCCCAAGGATACAATCTCCATATCTTATCTAGGCCATCAGCGGGCTTACCAATTCGCAAGATCTCTTATCTTAAGAAATCATTCATTAAACTTTTTGAAATAGTTCATTATAATTCCAATAGCTAAAATTAAGCTATGGTGTCAAAAAGTTTTTCTTTCGCAAACATGCCCTTTCTTTAAAACATGTGCAAGGCCAAAACTCTTTGAAAACAGGCTAACAAAGAAAGGGATCAGGAATATCCTAACTCTCAGATGTCAAACCTGTAGCTAACTTCTCGTCACCCTAACCTCCGCTTTCCTTAAAGCTGTAATACTCAATCTTCTTCACTAGCTTTATGACAAAAGCAGTGTCTTAGGAAGTATTTATCATTCGTAAAACGAATTAAGCTCAATCATGTTTAATTGTTTCCTATTAGTGTGCCTTGACTCGAATCCAAATTTCACAAACGATTTTATAATTAGTTTGGGGGTTCTTTAAAGATTGAAATCCAATTCATGGGTTTGGCTTTCTATTTAATTTCAGCTTAAAAACAACTTTTTAAAGAAATTTCGGCAGCATGCCGACATAAATAGGAAAAATGTCAAACCTGCAATTCAAGTTCAATTTCAAAATAAATTCTCTAGAATCCATCAAAATCAGTTTCCAATCAATTCAATATGTCCAATAACTAAAAACCCCTAAATTTCATTCAATTATAACAACAATTATTCAAATCCAAACCCTAACTCAAAAGTTATTCAAATCTAACCAAAATCAAACTTTCTCAAGTTTAAAACTCAAATCAAAGAGTGGGTTTCAAGGGGTTTTACCTCAAATTAGTTGGTGGAGCATTGTTTCTCTCTGTTTCTCCCATTTTTGGTTTTTTTTCTTTCTTCCCTATTTCGGCAAGGAACTCCAAGAGAGAGAGAGAGAGAGAGGTTGCCGGAGAGAGGGAGGGAGTGGTGGCCGGCGGTGAAGGAAGAAAAAGAGAGAGAGTTTAC